CTTAAAAACGGCTTTCACGTGAATCAGGTCCTATCCTACAGTATTTTTACAGTCTATTTTACAGCTAAAATATACGTTTATTAAATAAAGTAATGTTACAACTAATCATGGATCCCTTAAAAACGGCTTTCACGTGAATCAGGTCCTATTCAAAAGTCTTGAATTGAAACAGTTCAACACCGGAGTGACGTCATGAGGCCTCATTTGGAGTAGTCACGTGATCAGCGTGCTGAATCAGCGCTCGAAACACCATCTTGCGACACTTCTGCTTCATTTGCTTGAAACTGTGTCGAGCAGGGAGGTGTCTAATGCCCCTTTTCCACTAGAGCCACGTGTAGTGTCGGTACGGTTCGGTACGGTTCCAAGCCATTTCCATTAGGCCAGATCCACGGAACCGGCACTTTTTTTTTTACTCCCCACTTCATTGTGGTTCCAACCGGCCCCAGCTGACACCAAAATGCGACGTCAGATCACTGTTCATCACTGATTGGCTAAATCTTTGCAAATGTTTAAAACTTCAAAAGTTATTCATCAAATGTGTTTCCATCTCTCATTTTGCCCATTTTTTTTTCAAAACACCCAAAGACCACCTCCACCATCTGCCCAAAACACACCCATTGGAACCGGACTGGAACATCAGTGGAAAACCAACCAGTCCGACCCGTACCTACACCGACTGTTCCAACACTACAACATRGAAAAGGGGCATAACATCACTAACACTAACCTGTTTTGGATCCTGGGTTCCTTCATTAAAGTGCTCAGACAACCCCACCACGTCTTCCTRGAAAAGTAAGCCTTTTCAACTGAAAACTGCAATTCTTCTTAAAGCTCAATCTGACCAACTTGTCATCTCCCTCAGGTTTTGGAGCTAATTTGACCTGCACTGTAAATAAATTCACTTTCCTGATTTTTCTGCCTCCTGTGTATTTGTTCCTCTGGTTCTGCCTAATTGTGACATTTGCTGATCCATGATAACGTGTTTAAGTTATTTATATATTTCTGCTTCTAGTTTTAATTGCCAGTTTCTGCCATTCATAGACTGAGGCTACCAGCCATGTAATGTGTTCACACTAGTCTCCTTTYAAAAATAAAACCAAGAGAAATCTATTTTGATCTAGGTTTTGGGGACAGCAGTCATGACTGACAAGTTGAACATTGTGTAAAATTATCTAACCTACTTATTTGATCTTCAAGAATTTTCATCTATAACATTCAGATGAAGCTGTTTTAAAGCTGTATACCACAAATCAAGATTATTATTTTAAAGACAGCTGTTTTGCTTTAATAATTTTTTAAATGTACATTTAAGTCAGAGTAATTTTCAAGCYGTTAATCACAGCTGACAAATTAATTTTTGAGCAGTCACTCAGTTTGAATTCATTTTTAACAGCATCTCAGGGATACTTTTATCTTAAACCTCATGTGCCCAGTAGAGGTGGGCGATACTGGGAATTTTGGTATCGATCCGATATCAAGTAAATACAGGGCGAATATCACCAATACTAATACTTTTTAAGCTTGATAGTTTGAAAAGATCCAAAAGATGTCGGATAGAATTTCGCCAAATATTGTACGTGACAACAAAATACTTTATTATAACAATCAGCATTTTAGCTTGCCAACAATAGAGCAGTAAAAAAACAGCCTACCTGCTTAGCTTAGCTGTTTGGCTAGCGTTGCTGAGCCACGTGACGTGCAACAACAAAAGAC